ATCCCCACACTCCCCCCATAGACACCCCATAGACCCCCATATATCCCCACACCCACCCCATAGACACCCCATAGCGCCCCATAGATACCCCATAGCACCCCATAGACACCCCATAGACACCCTATAGCCCCCCATAGCCCCCCATAGATGCCCCATAGCCCCCCATATCCCCCCATAGACACCCCATAGACACCCCATAGCCCCCCATATCCCCCCATAGACACCCCATAGCGCCCCATATCCCCCCATAGACACCCCATATCCCCCCACAGACTCCCCATAGACACCCCATAGCCCCCCATATCCCCCCATAGACACCCCATAGACCCCCATATCCCCCCATAGACAACCCATAGCCCCCCATATCAACCCATAGACACCCCATAGACACCCCATAGACACCCCATATACACCCCATAGACACCCCATAGCGCCCCATATCCCCGCATAAACACCTCATAGCCCCCCATATCCCCCCATATCCCCCCATAGACACCCCATATCCCCCCATAGCCCCCCATAGACACCCCATATCCCCCCATAGACACCCCACAGCCCCCCCATATCCCCCCATATCCCCCCATAGACACCCCATAGCCCCCCATATCCCCCCATAGACACCCCATATCCCCCCATATCCCCCCATAGACAACCCATAGACACCCCATATCCCCCCATAGACACCCCATATCACCCCATAGACACCCCATAGCCCCCCATAGACACCCCATAGACACCCCATAGCCCCATAGACCCCCATAGCCCCCCATAGACACCCCATAGCGCCCCATAGCGCCCCATCTCCCGCCGCCGGCACCTCGGGCATGCGCAGTGGGTAGCGCTGGGGTTGGCTCCGCCCCCTCTCGAGCTCCGCCCTCCGCACGCATGCGTCACTGCGGCCGTGGCAGAAAGCGCGGCAAGGGCGGCACCCGCCCCGCCCCCCGCCGGCCACGCCCCCCGCCGGCCCCGCCCCCCGCGCCGAGCCCACGTGCAGGGGGAGGCAGCGCTCGCACTGCGGGCCCTGGGGGGAGGGGGGCACTGAGACCCATGGAGACCCATAGGGACACATAGGGACACATAGAGACCCATAGAGACCCATAGAGACCCATAGAGACCCATAGAGACACATAGAGACCCATAGAGACCCATAGGGACACATAGAGACCCATAGAGACCCATAGAGACCCATAGAGACCCATAGAGACACATAGGGACCCATAGAGACCCATAGAGACCCATAGAGACACATAGAGACCCATAGAGACCCATAGAGACCCATAGAGACCCATAGAGACACATAGGGACCCATAGAGACCCATAGGGACCCATAGGGACCCACAGAGACCCATAGAGACCCATAGAGACCCATAGAGACCCATAGAGACCCATAGGGACCCCCCCCGGACCCATAGAGACCCATAGGGACCCATAAAGACCCCATAGAGACCCATAGGGACCCATAGGGACCCATAAAGACCCATAGAGACCCATAGAAACCCATAGGGACCCATAGAGACCCATAGAGACCCCATAGACCCCCATAGAGCCCCCATAGCACCCCATAGACCCCCCATAGCACCCCATAGTGCCCCATAGACCCCCACAGAGCCCCATATAGACAGCCATAGAGCCCCCATAGAGCCCCATAGTGCCCCATAGAGACCCCATAGAGCCCCACAGAGCCCCCATAGAGCCCCATAGTGACCCATAGCAGCCGCCCCATAGCGCCCCCCATGGCACCTGCGTGTTGTGGCGGCAGTGGGAGCAGCGGCGCCGCAGGCCGGGCCCCGCGCAGTGGCCGCGGGCGTTGCAGGTGCAGGCGACGCCGCAGCCGGGCCCCACGGAGCCGAAGGGGCAGCGGCAGCGGGCGGGGGCCACGCAGGAACCGGGGCCGCAGCCACCGGGGCACCGGGGCAGGCACGGGGAGGAGGAGCTGCGGGAGGGGGGAGGGGTCAGAACACGGGGTAACATGGGATAACATGGGGTAACATGGGGTAACATGGGGTAACATGGGATAACATGGGATAACATGGGGTAACATGGGGTAACATGGGATAACAGGCCGGGCCCCGCGCATAACGCGGGCGTTGCAGGCGCATAACAGCCGGGCCATGGGATAACATGCTATAACAAGTGATAACATGTGATAACATGGGATAACATGGGGTAACATGGGGTAACATGTGGTAACACGCTATAACATGGGATAACATGGGATAACATGCTATAACATGCGATAACATGCTATAACGTGATAACACGCTGTAACATGGGGTAACATGTGATAACATGCTATAACATGTGATAACATGAGATAACACGCTATAACATGTGATAACATGCAGTAACATGTGATAACATGAGATAACATGTGATAACATGCTATAACATGGGATAACATGAGATAACACACTATAACATGTGATAACACGCTATAACGTGAAAACACGCTGTAACATGGGGTAACATGAGATAACATGCTACAACATGGGATAACATGTGATAACATGCTATAACATGGGATAACACACTATAACATGGGATAACAGGAGATAACATGCTATAACATGGGATAACATGAGATAACATGTGATAACACGCTATAACATGGGATAACATGAGATAACGAGATAACACATTATAACATGCAATAACATGTGAAAACATGCTATAACAGGGGATAACATGAGATAACATGTGACAACACACTATAACATGTGATAACATGTGATAACATGAGATAACATGTGATAACACACTATAACATGGGATAACATGAGATAACATGCTATAACATGGGATAACATGCGATAACATGGGATAACATGAGAAAACATGCTATAACATGGGGTAACATGTGATAACACATTATAACATGCGATAACATGTGATAACATAACGTGATAACATAACATGTGATAACATGCGATAACATGCGATAACACGCGATAACATGCGATAACATGCGATATAACGTGATAACATGGGATAATATGTGATAACGTGATAACATGCGATAACACACAATATCATGTGATAACGTGATAACATGCGATAACACACGACATAACATGCGATAACAAGTGACAACACACAACATAACATGTGATAACATGCGATAACACGCGATATAAATTGTTATAACATGCAATAACACACGCTATAACTGTGATAACATGCGATAACACGCGTGATAACATGCGACAACACGCGATATGTGACAACATGCGATAACGTGATAACATGCGATCACACATGATAGAACATGTGATAACATGCGATAACATGCAATATAACGTGATAACATGCACGATTATGTGGTAACACGATAACATGCGATATGAAATAACGCACGATAACATGCGACAACATGCGATATAACATGTGATAACATGCGATAACATGCGATATCATGTGATAACACACGATAACATGTGCTATCATGTGATAACACACGATAACGTGACAACACGCGATAACGCGATAACATGTGATAACATGCAATATAACGTGATAACACGATAACATGTGATATGTGATATAACGTGATAACATGTGGTAACACGCGAAAACATGCGATAACGTGATAACACACGATAACATGTGACAACATGCGATATAACGTGACAACACGCGATAACACACGATAACACGTGATAACACGCGATATCACATGATAACACGTGATATCACGCGATAACACGCGATAACACGCGACAACACGCGATAACACGTGACAACACGCGATATCACGTGATCACTCCCTTGGCACTCACTTGGCCCGGGCGTAGCCCCGCCCACAGGGCTCGCACTTGGCCCCGCCCCCGCACTCCTCCTCCTCCTCTGGGGGGCAGCGCAGGAAGGACCAGGACTGGCAGGGGGGGTCTGGGGCTGCAATGGGACCCATAGAGACCCATAGAGAACCATAGAGACCCATAGGGACCCATAGAGAAACCATAGAGACCCATAGAGACCCATAAACATGAACAGACACCCCACACCACCCCATGAGGGCCCCCCAAAACCACCCCATAGCACCCCATAACCCACCCCATTGCCCTATAACCACCCAATCACCCACTAAATAGCACCCCATAAGCAAGCCACATAGCGCCCCATAACCCACCCATAACCCACCCCATAACCCCCCCATAACCCCTCCATAACCCACCCCATAGAACCCCATAGCGCCCCATAACCCACTCCATAGAACCCCATAACCCCCACCATAGAGCCCTCTAACCCAGCCCCATAGCGCCCCATAACCCCCCCATAACCCACCCCATAACCCCCTTATAACCCCCCATAACCCAACCCCAGAGCCCTATAACCCAGCCCCATAGCACCCCATAACCCTCCCATAACCCCCCATAACCCACCCCATAGCACCCCATAACCACCCCATAACCACCCCATAACCACCCCATAACCACCCCATAACCCCCCCATAACCACCCCATAACCCCCCATAACCACCCCATAACCCACCCCATAGCTCCCCATAACCCCCGTAGCACCCCATAACCCCCCCATAACCCCCCATAACCCACCCCATAGCCACCCCATAACCACCCCATAAACCCCCATAACCACCCCATAACCCCCCATAACCCCCCATAACCACCCCATAACCCCCCCATACCCCCCATAACCCCCCCATAACCACCCCATAACCCCCCATAACCACCCCATAACCACCCCATAACCACCCCATAGCGCCCCATAACCACCCCATAACCCCCCCATAACCACCCCATAACCACCCCATAACCACCCCATAACCACCCCATAACCCCCCCATAACCACCCCATAACCCCCCCATAACCACCCCATAGCCACCCCATAGCACCCATACCTCCCCTAACCCCCCCATAACACCCCCATAACCACCCCATAACCCCCCCATAACCACCCCATAACCCCCCCATAACCACCCCACCCCATACCCACCCCATAACCCCCCATAACCCCTCCATATCCCCCCATAACCTTCTTATAACCCCCCATAACCCCCCCATAACCACCCCATAACCACCCCATAACCCCATAACCACCCCATAACCCCCCCATAACCCCCCCATAACCCCCCATAACCACCCCATAACCACCCCACATCCCCCC